TTTTCCTTGTTTCGTTCCCTACTTTCCATTAGTGTCTTAGATCTTTTTTCATACCTGCCTTGGCCTAACAAAAGCAGCTGTTATTCTGAATTTCTGGCTATAGAAGCTGGTAAGTGAGGTGATTTTTGAAGACATTTTCTAACCTAGCTTCTAAAACATTGTGACAGTAAATGAAGGCTTAATTTTGCTTTCGTGTAGGTGAGTATAAGTCAAGAACAGTTCTGAAATTTGATTTTCTGTCTGTATGGCATACTGCAAGTAAATAGAGAATCTATAGTGATTCTAGAATACTGCCAGGTATCAGAGGGCCAATATTAGGAAGCAGAAATGAAAATGGAAGAAGATGGATGTGTAGTAGTATACCCTGTTAATATTAAGGTTTTTTTCTCAAGTAGTAGTCAAATTCCCTGAGAGTGCTGCTGTAAGGAATTCGTGTAGGCCTTCACCAGCAGCAGATGGTGTCAACTAAGGAAGAAAATTCTGCAGAAACTCCTGCTTCCATAAAACTGCACTCACCAGTGTGGCCTGTTTTATTTTATCTTGTCTCTGATTACCGTAACAGTTACATAAAACTGAGAAGGAAACGCAAGCATGTGCCTGATCATTATGGCTTGTCTAGCAAAACAAAGCGAAGTAACATGCATTTCACACTGCGACTTGCTCATTTTATGGGATGGCTGCGTGCCTCAGTGGTTCTTGTCTGCGAGGTCTGTGTTCTGTCCCACTCCTTGGACTAAATGACAGTCCTGAAAGCTGAAGTTAGCCTGGATTAGAGGCAGTGACTCCTTTGATTCACTTAGGTGAGCTGTAAGTTAGCCTGGAAGTGGTGAGGAGGGCTGTTTTCCACAGAGACTTTTACAATAGAGGTGGATTTTTCTTGCTTGTTTTTGTTTTAGAGAGAGAGGCAAATGGGAAGGGCTAAACTAAATTAAATACATTACCGATCGCTTATTAGTGGCATTTAAGCAGGTCCTTTTGTACTTCAGCTTAGTTCTATATAGCTTTATATATTTTTAAATACTTCTTTTGTTTCTGTGGGGGCCAGATGTGCTGCTGATACCTTCTGATCTTGGATAGTTTGACATTGATTTTCCTAGCACACGCCAGGGTTGAAATCTGGTCTGTAACTCATCCAAATGATCTATTCATAACAAAAAGTGCCTTCTGGCAGTTGCACCACAGCTGAATATTGTTAAACTGAATTCATCATTTCATTTGTTTCTGATTGCTCTATAATGTTTACATATCTTACATATTAGTATGATCTTTTATAAAGCACACACTGAGGTTAAATCCTCCCAGACAGAACTTTTTTTCTCCTTTTTCTCCTTCTCAGAAGGTGTTGAACTCTTTTTCCCTTCAGATGAGCAGGAATCTTGGAGCTGCTTGATGCTCATCTCATCTCATCTGAAACGAAGGGCTGAGCCAGTAGGAATGTGTGTGTTGGGGAGACATGTAAAGGTGACATTTCTCTTCACAAAAGAATTCCTCCCTGTCTAAAGACATAATACTGGTGAGGCGGAATTGCTTGTCCGAGTATAATGCTACCGTAAGGAAGCATCATCACGGATGAGGGCAGTAGTCCCCATTCAACTGAAATATTTACAGATGCTGCTTATGACTCAAAGCGTGAACAGGTTCAGATTCTTCTCATTACCTGTCTTCAAATT